AAAAAGAGTTTAACCTCTACTTTTAGAGGTTTTTAAATATTTTCTCCTGAAACACTTTATTTTGTATGTTTTTGTTATATTTCATAAATAAATAATTTTTTACTTTACTTTTTTACTTTTTAAATTCTGACGCGTTGGCAACACTTTAAAGTTGGCACGGTCTCACTTCCTTGTTATTAAATAATCAATTAACCCATTTTCAGCATTTTCAAGAATTCATTCAGGGAATTATGTTCTTGAAAGAGTTCCAGAACCCCCATAAAGTAGAGATGGGCAAATTTGTCAGCTACGTTTTCCAAAAATCGTGTTGGTTAATAATTTGGGCCGGGGTAAAAAATCGTGTTGGTTAATAAATTGGGCCGGGGTAAAAATCGTGTTGGTTAATAAATTGGGCCGGGGTAAAAATTGGTTAATAAATTGGGCCGGGGTAAAAATCGTGTACAATGTGATAAAAGCAAACTTGGTTAGCTCATAAAATTTTAAAATAAAATTAACATCTCAGATTCTTGGGGAACCTCTAAAAGTAAAAACTTTAAATGCTTAAAACCTCAAAACGGACCTCAAAACGGACCTCAAAACAGACCTAAAAACGGACCTAAAAACGAACCTCAAAACAAAGCCCATCGGCCATAAGTGCCTTAAAACAATCTACAACATTCCTCTGAATCCTTAATTAAATCAATAATGTGCAAGATAACCTCGTTTAAAAAACAGCAGTTTTTATAAAAAAAAACAATTTAAAAAAACAATGGATAGTTAATTCATACTTGATCTTACAAAGCTTTTAAGGATACCGGAGTAAAGTGATCTTTTTTATTTAAAGGTCTCTTGAAATGAAACTGCACTCCCTGTAAAGTGTTATCCAAAGATAAGAGAATAGAGATATATCTAATAAAGGCTTGAAAATGCGATATTTTCTACAGCAGGGTCTAAGTACACGACCAATAAACATAGTTAAAAGTTTGAGTATTTCTTTAAAAATTTGAAAATGGGTATTATATGCAACAAGTGGCCGTTAGATGGCGGTTAACAACTCTTTCATGCAAATGTAGCAGGCGTGCCGGGACAACTATAGTCCTGATTAGCCCATACCGATTTAGCAGGCGTGCCGGGACAACTATAGTCCTGATTAGCCCATACAGATTTAGTCTGTGGAAATTATCCTTTATGGGTAACCGGCCCCCTTTTATTATAATACAAGGACAAGTTGTAAAAATGCCTATATATATATATAAATATATATTTAGAGGTTTTATTAGACTTTTATACCAGCGTCATCAGTGCCTGGTCATAAATATATAATCTTGGAATACCTCAAAACTATTAATTTTAATATTCTAGTATCATCATGCATTTACATAACTTACAGTTCAAGGTTACTAAACAATCAGATTTTAAAGGAAATGTAAACGATTCACAAGGATACCCTTGAAAGCTTTGTCTGATCAAATTAATCTATGAATTAAGGTCACTTGAAATCACGATTACAGTCCCTTTTCTTTGAGTGAAACTTTGAGTGTAACTTTGAGCGTAACCTTGAGTGTCACTTTGAGTGTAACTTTGAATTCAACTTTGAGTGTAACTTTGAGTGTCACTTTGAGTGTAACCCTGCATGAAATAGATACTCACATCTTTATAAAAGAATAAAACTATTCATTTTTGTCCTTAAAGTGATAATTAAAAAAAAACTTTAAATTCGTTATCTATTGATACTTTTTGCATCAATCTATTTATACTTTCTGCATCAATCTATTGATACTTAATTCCGCATCAACCTGTTGATACTTTCTGCATCTATCTGTTGATACTTTCAGCATCAATCTATTGATACTTCCTGCATCAACCTGTTAATACTTTCTGCATCAATCTGTTGATACTTTCTGCATCAATCTATTGATACTTTCTGCATCAATCTGTTGATACTAAATGAAGATAATAATTTCTTAACCTTGATCTTGTTCCAACCTTGCCATGGGTTAAAAAACCATTAAAATATTATTAAGCCGATACATGTCTCCACTCATAGATTAACAACAATACAGATATAATACTATATATCGTCTTTTAATAATTTAGGGGTTTTTCGTTCACAATAACCCTGAGGCAGTGCCTAATGTGGTTACGCGCATGCCGCCTTGAATTACAAGACAAAGAGAAAGCCTGTTCGAACTCGCTTTCCCTCAGGGTCATTGGGAACCAAAAAAAAACCTTAAATCTTGAAAAGACGACATCTAATATTCTATCTGTATTGTTGTTAATCTATGTCTTCACTCTTCAGTTCACACTTGAAGAAAAAAAATGTTTATAATATTGATATGGAAACCTTAGACTGATTAAGTATATCTGACTGAAACATCTTGCTTGAAAGCTGTTATATAATGTCGCGTGATTATACTATTATAGGTTTACAGAAGGGACGAGGGCGTTCAAAGTTTATTGTTTAAAAAGAAGACACTTCGAAAAAATGCTTCAACTCAGAATTTAATCTGGTAAATTGGGCGGCTTAAGTCTTCCTCCCCCCGTACATCCTTGAAATCATCTCTGGATTGTTCAGCAGATTGACCCATCCAACATCTCAGAACAAACCCCTTTTAACATTTTAATTTTGTTTTACGGGATCTTGTATTTTGATTTTGGTTTCAACAGTTTCTCTGACATTAATACCTAAAATGGCCATCCTGAAGTTTCTCGAGGAAGAATTCACGAAAAAACTTAACAATTTGACCTGTTAAACATTGGCTTTCCTTGTTTATGCTGTTTTTTTCCACAAAATTTCAAACTAGTAAAAATTACAAATAATTTTAAATCCCTAAAAAAAATATTAGAAACTTTATAAAAAGTTGAATAAAACGAAAAACTGAAATCTTTTGTAATACTTTTGCAGGACGGACTGGCCTCCTTTAAGAGTATGGTGTAAAGGAGCACCGGCTCCAATAACTTTATCTATCTGTTGATAAATTTCTAACAGAAAAATGCATGGGTCCGGTGCTCCAAGAAAACTGGACCCACGCCGGGGTGCCGATCTACCCTTTTATCATTTTATCTCTAAAAACAGTAAAACAGAATTTAAAAAGTAAAACAAAAACAGAATTAAAAAAGTAAAACAAAAATAAAAATCAGTCAAATTTAAACAGGATTGTTAATTTTAACGCCCTAAAGATTGTGAAAATGGTAAAATTGTTCAAAACGTTTAATTAGATTCACATTTTTCTTCTGGTGAGATGAATTGTTTTAGTATTTTCCTCAGAACCTGGAAAATAATATCTCTGAGAGCCTGTTTTTGAGTGCTTTAATACACCCTAATGAATACATATTGCTTCCAGATTTTGTAGAAAAATTATATTCCTTTTTGTACTTTGTTCCCTGATTGTATTGAAATTTGTAATTCAGCTTTCTTAG